GCCCGCTCTCCAGAAGAAGATTGCCCACGCGAAGGAAATGCTGGGGCACCGCCTGACAAGGTCGAAGGCTTGCAAGGGGAAGTATTCCGAGCTGCTCGAGCGCGCGCGAGGCTCTGGCAGGCCGCGGCCACGCGGGCGCGCTCGAGCGGGGAGGGGGGGCGAGGGCGAGGAGGGAAGGGGGGGCACCCGGAGGACAACGAGATGGACAGCGGGGAGGGACAGGAGGGCGATTAGATGGACATGTAGGAGGGGCAGGAGGACTGTATACGGGGCAGATGGGAAGGGGCAGGTGGGCTACAAACACATGACCCATGTGCGCTGCGCTCGCAGAGCTTTCTCGCGCAACCCGGCGAGTTCGCCGCCACTTCCTCCTGGGGAAAAAGCGCGCGTCAACGATTTCGCGCGCCCTCCTGTGCAGGAGGGCGCACGCACGCATCGATCCTTCATCTTCTTTGTCTTTCGTACTAGCTTTGCGGCTCAAGAGGCGCGCCTTTGTTTTTTCCCGAGGGCCGATGTGCTCGGCAAGCGCAGGCGCCATCGCGACGCTGCGGATCTTCCTCTTGACAGGAGGTCGAGGGCAAACGAAAGCGCGCGGCTGTCGACCAATGCGCTCACCTACGCCCAGGCCCAGTCGCTCTTCGACGACGCCCGCGCGGGGGGCTGTCGAGGGGTGATCGACTTGACCGGCGACCGAGGAGCAGGCGAGGACTCCCTGCGAGAAGGGCAAGAAAGGCGCCATAACGCGGGCAAGCGCCGGGGGCAATGTATCTAGGAAGCTGCAGAGGCGACTGCTTCGAGGGAGTTGGTGGCCCAGGCCATTGTTCGCGGAGGTCCGCTGTTGGAGCAAGAGGCGAAGCCGCGAGCAGAAGGAACGGGTCGCTTTCGGCCTGCCGCGCGAATATTTTGCCCAATTAGCGCACTACGGCTCGTTGGAGAAACTGGAGAGCACCAGCGGCCTGGATGAAGTGGGGAAAAAGCACGCGCAACGCTGCCTCTCGGAAATGCAAGTCGATTCGATGACTCCTGCAAGTCTGTGGGCCGACGGCGCCCCGTGCCAGTGGGGCCGCGATCAGACAGTAGAGCTGGCGCGTTCAAATTTGCCAGGGCTGCCGAATACGATGGAGGAGCACAAGCTGCGCCTGCCCGTCACTGGGTTGATGAAGGCTTCCATGAGCACGAACACGTGGCATGACATTTTCGAAGTGATTGCTTGGAGTTTTCGGCCCATGGCTACACGTGCATACCCCGCCGCCCGCCACGACGGCAAAGCTCGGTTAAAGTCTGACTTCCACAGGGCCAAGAAGGCATCGGCAGATCTAGGGTACAGGTCTGCGCCGGCGCAGGTGCGCGCAGACTGGGGATGCTGGAAAAATGTGTTCAGTTTCCCGCAATACAACGAGAAGGCGGGGTGCTGCTGGAGGTGCCACGTGACGCCGCAGCAGGCCCCTCCTCCTCGCCCTCCCCCTCGCCATCCTCCTCGTGCTCCTCTTCGTCCTACGCGCCCCGTTCCCCTCTCGTCTCGCCCGCGCAGGTCTTCCAGCCAGAGCGCATCTGCAGCGCGGCGCCGTGGCGGAGTCATAGGCGCACGAAGGCGCAACTGATCCAGCACCTAAAGGAACGTGATGTCACAAGATCGCCGATGATGTCAATCCCTTGGGTTGACCAATCGGTCTGGAGACTCGAGTGGCCACGCGCAGTTGATCTGGGCGTCGCAGCATATTGGCTGGGGCAAATGTTTTTTCAGACTGATACAACTAAAAAATTCAGTGGCTCCACTTACGACGCTCAGTGCAAAGAGTTGCGGGGTCGCCTGAGTACTTGGTACGAACGGAACCCACAGGCGGATCGCACTCACTCCTTGACCATGAAGACCATCAAGCACAAGAAGGTAGTGCGGCTTTCAGGGCAGGCTGCCGTTATCAGGCACATGATAACCTGTGGGCAAGCACTCGCCGACGAGCTCTGCGACCCGAGGGTCACGGAAGAGGCCGCGGTGGGAAATGCGATGTTTCATTTGTCTCAGCGATATCTCTGCTTGAGAAGGGGTAGCCTGAAGGGAGACATTCTGAATGACCAGTCGGTCAAGTTCAGCTTGCAGTACACCGCCTTGCGCGGCATGCGCCCGAAAGTGTTTCACATCATACCGAAGCTTCATCAATTGCCCGAGATTGGCCTGGAAGCTTTGCAGGGCCATCAGCCCGAGGCATGCTGGACTTACAGAGACGAGGACTTCGGAGGCACGGGCGCTCGCTTCGCCAAGCGTCGTGGCAGCGTGCTCACGCCCAAGGGCTTCAGCGTCGCATGTCCAGATTTTTCGCGCAGACTTTCGTTAGGATCTTGTGATGGCATCGGCGCGATTCGAAAAAGAGGTCGTCCTCTCCGCCCCCCCTCCCCCTCAAATCCCCATCCTGTGCAGGAGGGGCAGTGACCCCCCCCCCTGTCTCCAGTCGCTCTCTCCGCCCTCGCATCTGTCGTCACATCGCCGTCGCGTCTTCCGCCTCAGCCGGTTCTGGCTTCAAATTGTTTGTTACGCGACCCTCGTCCCATAATTCATCGAATTCAGAATTCATTCGATGATGGCCGTGGACGTTCGCTGCTCGGTCTGCGGCAGCCTGTCTGTCGACAGCGAGTCCTGGCGTTGGGTGAAACAGCTGGACGGCGGATCGTGGTGGTACGCATGCTGCCAGAACTGCGTCAGCAGGTTCCGCAACACCCTCACTCCTCAGGTCCTGTGGTGGAGCGGCGATGTGGTCGAGAAGCAGATCGACGAGCGTCCCGCGATCATGGTGGAGGCTCGCTTCGGCACAAGGGACGGAAGCCAGGACGCGTACGCGAACCAACGGCGACGCCTTCACTGAGTGGGCCGCCGCGCGCCGCCCGCGGAACCTAGAGTCGGGAGCCGTGCTCCCCCCTATTGCGCTCTTTGCGCCCGCTGAGAACAAAAAAAAGCTTGAGGGGGCGACGTCTCCTGTACAGGGGGCGCCGCGGGGAGGACGAGGAAGAGGAGGAAGGAGGAGGCGAGGGGTAACATTATCGGACCAACATGAAATCAACATAAAATCAACATGACATCAGCATAGAGCCAACACAAATTAACATGAATACCATATAGGAACAGCATCGAGATCGCTGGGCCGCTAAGCAGTTGGCATGGGAAACCTCTGCTTCTAATTAGCGTATGCAGCTAATTAGAGGAGACAGGCCTGCATCCCTTCGTTAGCGTATGCAGCTCATTAGAGGAGATTGGACCCTCAAGGTACTGTGCCGATGTAAAGGAGGCTGGCTGCTGGTCCCAGCCTCTGGGGGGCTCCTCTTGGGCCCTCTTTGCGCGTCCTGGTCATCTTGGGGGACCTCTTTGGCCGTCTCAGAGCACTCTTTTTCTTCACATGCGCATCGGCACCGAGAGCGTAGCACTCAGCATTCAGCCGCTGCAACTATCACGCTCACGTGCTTCAGAGGAAGCTGATGAAGTTCAAAACGACGCTAGACTTCATCTCCCCTCTCCACTGCATCACCCTAACCCTGTGCGGGCGATAATATCCCCCTCTGGGATGATAAAGTTCGCGGTTCCCACGGGGATAATAAAGGATTTTCCCGGGGAAGGTAAGTGATGATGATGATGATGATGATGATGATGATGATGATGATGATGATGATGATGATGATGATGGAGATGACGACGATGATGGAGGAGGAGGTTAAACCAGGCGCACGACAGAAGCCTGACTCGAGCGATCTCGAGGCCCATAGCCCTGCCACACGCTCGTGATTGCGGAAGCTGGTGTGGTGAGACCACCATTGCCATGCTCAGCGTTCTTGATGCTGTTGCTAATCAACATGATATGATAGCAGCTTCGATCCCCGCAACTTTTCCGTGGATTATCAAGTTCGGCCTCCGCACCTTCCCCACAGATAAATCCATGTGGTCGGGGATAAACAAATAGAGGGGGTGAAGGGGTGGGTACTTTATTATCGCCCGTGGTCGGTTACTCCCCACCCTCATCCACCCGGACCTCACTCCCACGTCTGCGGCGCGCATAGGGCCAGACAAACGCGGGGCTTCCGCAGCGACGCAGCGTAGGAAAACTTCCGCGTTCCAAAAAAACACGATTACCGCGTTCTCGAAGTTGCGCGGTGAGCCAAAACAACGTGCACCCATTATATAAGCCGGACGACCCTGACATCTGGCGGCCCGATCTGCTCAATACGTGGGGCAGCCCACAGAGCTCCCGCCCTGCCTTCCTCTATCCTCCCCCTCCTCCTCCTCCTCCTCCTCCTTCTCCTCCTCTCGAGATCGCTAGTCGGGGAGGCTCAGGGAGCACAGCCCATGCGCCACAGCCCGCCAGGACACCTCGGCAGCGCGCCGCCGCCGCACCGACCGCGCCGCCTGAGCGGGGGACTGCGGCCGCCTCTGCACCGCGCCGCGCCTCGCAAGACCATGCCGGGAGGCCTGAGTTATGAGTACCCCGCCGGCAGGCCTGAGTTATAGATGGCCCCATCAAGACTGAGCGGGCGGGGGAGGAGGGGGAGGAGGAGGAGGAGGAGGAGGAGGAGGAGGAGGAGCATGAGCATGAGCAGGAGGAGGAGGAGGAAAAGGAGGAGGAGGAGGAGGGGGAGGATCGGCGCGAGGGGGTCTGCAAAGGAGGCTGCCGCGCAGGACCCAGAGGCGGGGCGGGGCGGCGCTGGGCGGCCAGCCCCGTCCACCGCACCGGGCGCGAGACCCTCTTCCGCCTCCTCTTCTGCCTCCTCCTCCTCCTCCTTCTCCTCCTCCCCCCCTCCTCCTACTGTGAATTGCACTCCATACAATGTATGTTTTGAGGGTTATGACAGAATGTTATTAGATGCTTTCCCATCTCGAGGCCCCCTTGAGGCCCAGTGGCAGCACATAGCAAGCAGCAGAGATTTACGGCACGTTTGACCATTGCCGTTTGAGCTCGAGAGGCCTCTCGACTGACCGAAAAGGTTACCATCACCACCCCCCGCATGCAGAGCAGTGTGGAGGAAGGTGTCTGAGAAGAAGTTGGCAGAGATTCGGACTTCGATTCGGAGGCGCTCGGAGACTTCGACTGCTTCGACGAGTTCACACCTGATCCCCCTCCTCCTCCCCCTGGCAAGCCATCCCCATGCGTGGCGTCGTCCTCGGCTTTGGAATCCCCATCCGTGACACTGGGGATCGAAAGCCGCCTCTGCGGGTGCGGGTAGCATTGGCCTGGCGCGCGGCTCCAGCTGGCAGGGCGCCAGGCTTTCCAAAAGGGAGAGCGAGGACGGCGAGGATGAGGAAGAGGAGGGCGATCGGGAAACCCGTTGCCCATTGGTGGCAAACCCGTTGCCCATTGGTGACAACACTATTCCACCATCACTCGGTGACCGCGGCGTCGCGGCAAAGATCTTCCTGGACCACATGGTCCGGCGTGAGAGAGCGCTGACCTGTGGGTGTCCTGTCGGACGGTGCCTGCAAGATCAGCATGGCTAGGCCGAGTTCTGTACCAAAGACATTCGGTTGAGTACGCACTACTCATGCTGAAACTCGGCTACGCACTACACTTGCTTTACACGGCCAACGCCCAGGAAAGCGTGCGCCTCAAGCAGCTAGCACGGATGCGTGGCCCAGCAGACCCTGACGAGCACGAGCCCAGCATTGTCAAAAAGGTGTCGACTCTCCGCCCTCGCCGTGCGGCCGCTGGCCATATCGAAGAAACGTCTCCTCCCCTCTCCCCCTCCCCAGACCTCCAACGCCGTGAGCTCTTGCCGACGCGCGCAGCCCTGGGGCTACCGGCCCCCCCTCTTCGGGAGCGGCCCTGGCGCCGCGGGCCGCGGTGCGGTGGGCCCGAGGCTGGAGGGCGGCCCCCGGACGCCGAGATCGTCAGCGGGGGGGGGGGCGGGGGACGGAGGAGGAGGACGGCGTCGGGGGCCCCCGGGGAGGAGGGGGGAGGAGGCGCCAGGCGCCCGTGGCCCATCGCCGCGCCCCGACAGCTCCAGCGGCGGCCGTCCCTGGTTCCAGGCCCGCGCAGGCTGTCGAGCGACTTGCCATTCTGGATACACGGAACGGTGGATGTACAATCAAAACGTGTATCAAGGACGGGGGGAAGGACGCCAGGCCCTTGGAGGCCGAAGTTGAGATTTTGGGGGCGGCGGGCGACCAGTGAAAACGGCAAAGGACGGGCCGCAGAGGCAAGGACACAAGGGTACCCTAGATAAAGGCGCGCGTCATCACTGGGCACGTTGACTGTATGTATCCCATCTTGCAAGTCAACGACATGCGTCAGCCGACGGTGCTCAGGAGACGAGCGTGCCGGGAGCAGAGCACGAACCAGCCAGCAGAGGGCGAACCCAAGCAGGGCAGCGCGAGGTAAAAAATCGCGGCCATCACATGAAAATACAGGCAACGTAACTCGGCGTGTGCAGCGCCCATAGTAGTAACAGGAGAGGAAGATCGAGAACTGGAAGGATGAAGAGGTCAAAGGAAAAGATGAGCGGGTGAGGGGAACACTGGCTTTCAACTCGCATCAGACTGCAAAAGGAAACCATGGCTTGCATATTCGCTTTTACGGTCATGTCTCGCTAAAGACCTGCAGCCACACAGGCGAAGCGGCCGCGTAGCCGCGTTTCGACACATGGGCGAGGAATGGACGGAGCGAGGAAAGAGGACGGGTGGAGGACAACGAGAGATGAGGATCAGGAACCAACCTATTGATCGCAAGGGACGTTGACAAACTTGAGGTAACTAAGTGGGCTTCGGGAAAGGGGCCCGAGACTTACCGACGAAGACCACAGGCTTGAAGTGTTCGGGGACGTGATCCGTCGTGATAAAGCTGTGTTGGTAACGGTCTACGTTCGCCTGAAACCCCTGAACACAAGACCACGTTACCGTACAAAGCTTTCTGCACCGGATAGGCCACTTTGTGAAGCCGTTGAAAGCACTGCTGAAGTTTATGGCGAGCTCCTCGCTGATCAAATTCACGAAAGCGTACCCCTTGCTCTGGTGGGTCTTGAAATCTATTGGCACATAAACAAAATCGTACGCTCCTTCGAACCCTTCCCCGTTCATCGCATTGATGAACTCATCGCGTGTGACACCACAGGGTATATTTCTCAGAAGCAGCGTGGTGCAGCGCTTGTTATCAGTCGCTAAGGGTTGGATGTCAGGATCAGGCCCCTGCCCTGGAGAGGAAAGGGCGCGGCCGAACGCGCCCGTCGCCTGTGGGCACCCGGGAGCGAACACCGCAGCATTACTACCCATAGGTGTAAAGCTTCCGGCCTTGCTGCTCAGAGGCGTTCGCGCGATGGGTGAGACCAATGCCTGACAACTCTGCTTGCCAGCTGGCAGACTCTCGCCCACCTTGCTTGTAAGGTCGGCATGGACAAGCGGAGTATGAGACGACTGCCAACACGAGTAGTGGTCGATCGAGCAGCAGCTGAGTACATCATCCTCGGGCTCCTCGTGTACGACGGCCGGGTCCTTCAGAATGATGAGACTGAGGCTGCGATTGGCGTCGCTGCGCGTCTTCGTGTGTTCGAGCCTGGAACCATCAGAACCATCCTTGTTTAAAATGCTATGGTCCTTGTCCTTGCCGCGGATGGGAGGGCATGACTGAACTCGACGCGTGCCACAGCCAGAGGCTGCAAATGACTCGTCAATGGAGCTCTCGAACTCGAAGAATGTGTTTCTGATGATCACGCGGACGTCCGCCATGACCAATCTGGGAGACCGCACGCGTTCGGACACAAATCGCCAGACTGTTCGACAAGGAAGCGTTGAGCCTTGAGCCCACCCGTCTTGTTACGGACAGTCTCGGGGCCCTCTGGCGCCGCCTTGGGGTCGTCTTGAACTGGTCCTTAGAGCCAGCGCGTGGGCAGCCGTGACCCCCCGATTAGCTCAAGCTTGGCGGCATAGCCTCGGAAACGACCTGGCTGGGACCTGGGCAGGCATGCTCCTTCGAACCATCCTCATCCCATCATCCGTCTGCTGCTCTGGATTCTTGTCGAGAATGTGCCGGGGAGAGGTGGAGATACGACCTCAGAAGTATTCGATATGATCCTGGGTGGGCATAGGACGGAACTGAAACGATTCATTGTACCAACCAACGCCTGGGCAACGGTGGCACCCCAGATTAGCTCAAGCGTGCCAATTGCGCACCGTGATCGAACTCTGAAATGCCTCTCGGAGGCGTCTTCCAAACAGTTGGGAAGCCTCTTGGGGTCTCGTGGGGGCCTCTTAGGGGCCCACTGCGGGCCTCCTCGGGAGATCTTGGGGCCCTCTTTGGGGCTTGCTCGTGGTCTCGGGGGCCCTCGTGGGGCGGACGTCTCGAAATGTCGGTTCGAGTTCCCCCTCCTGGGCCACACTTGGGCTCCTCCTGGGGCCCCCTTGGGCCATCCTGTGCACCTCTTGGACCGTCTGGGGGACCTCTTGGGCCGCCGAGGGCCCTTCGCAGGGGCCTCCTCAGCCGTCTTGGGGTGGTCTTAGGGCCTCGTGGGCAAGTCTTGGACGCTGGTAAAAGCCAACAGACGGACGCGTTCAGAATGTGCATCGCCGTTCGTGAAGGACACGATTTGGACCTCTTGGGGGGCCTATTGTGGGGCATTTTGGAGCCATCACAGGGCGTGATGGGCTGTCTTGGAGGCGTCTGGAGGCAGTCTTGCGATGCCTTGGGCAATTATTGAAGGTCTCGGGACCGTCGATGGCCGCCTTGACCTGCCTCGGGGCCGAAAGAGCGCCCCACCTGGGCAAAATCTGGCTCCGGTCCCCGCGGGCTAGATTGGATTAGCGCAGGGGGGGAAATTTTGGACAAATGTGCTGCCCCCGGGCCCGGGAGTCCGTCATATTATACAAATGAGGCCTCGTCCTCCTCCTCCTCCTCCTCCTCCTCCTCCTCCTCCTCCTCATTCTCCCGTAGGGCGAGAGGATGAAGAGGATGAGGGTGTCAATTTGAAGGGGAAGAGGGCGAGAAAGCGAGAATCGCCCTTGCTCATATCCCCTCAAACATCGACCACTGGAGCTCTCTAGGGGCGCTGCTTGGACCCGCAATGCGAGGAAGATCAAGCTGTGGTGACGCGAATAAGCCAGGAAGCCTGAGCATGTGTTAGGACGCCCGAACACCTCGATCCCCGAGCTATCCCCTCCATTCCTTTTCCATGTAACAACTCGTCCCTGTCGCACCCCTAAGCCAGTCGAAAAGGCGGGCCGGACGTTTTGCCTCAGACTTCCGCGCCATTTATGGCCCTAAACCGTAATATCTTGCAAGACTTTCGCGGATGCAAAGCAGGTCGTTTCCAAAACGTGGTTCGCGCCTCAGCGCCGCGCACATTCGTTTAACACATGTGCCACAAGAGTTTCACGGATTGAGGGCGGGTGTTTTTTTTAATGTGGTTATCGCATCAGCGCCGCGCACATTTGTCTTAGACACGTGCAAGACGTTCAGTGATTGAGGGCAGTTCCTTTTCACAATGTGGTTTTCGCCTCGGCACCGCGCGCGCTCGTATGAAACAAATCCCACCAGTCCTCTGGGCGCAGGTGGTCTAACGCGTTTCCCTTTCCAACCTCTTTCCTTTCCCTGCTCGGGAGGTTTACCTCCCCCCTTCTCCCTGGGTCTGAACGGGCTGATTTGAAGGGGGGCGGGAGGCCCAACACGCAGCTTCGCCTAAAGCGAAGCCCAGAATCAATTCTGCTGTGCCGTAGTAACAATAATCCCACCAGTGTTGGAGATCGTCGCGGGAGCGACGGGTCATGACAAGCAAAGATGTTTCCGCAGTCGATCTCATGTCGTGTGCCTCGCGATGAGGCGCGCTGATATGTTGGCGGCCGGCCGCTTGAGAACAACCGGCCGCGGACAAACGCTCGCCATCTCTCGCCTTTGCCCCGGCCTCCTTTAGCGTCGGGGGGGAGGAGACGAAGCGTGAGTCCGCCGCCCGCTATAAGTAAACACTGCATACACAAGGTAGGCAGCAGCAGGCGGGTTCAACAAGGAAGGTTGACCTGGACGCATATGCCTTGCAAGCAAGTTGCCTCGCAGGCAAATCGCCTTGCAGGCGATTGCTCCTCAGGCGGCTCAGACGATTTTGTCTGGCCAACCCTGTACGGAACTTGTCGTTTTAAATCGTGCTTGAAGGATTGCGTTCCTCCCGTGGCCTGTAAGAGCATATCTCTGTCGATGCTCCCTTTGGTGCGGCCGTCCGCAGTCATGTCGCGAGTGTCACACCACTGTGCACCATGCACGATGACTCGCTCCATCTTCTGTCGTATCCAACTGATATGGCCCAGAAAAGTACACGCAGTCGGTTTCTTCAGGTCTTTGCCTGACAAAGACTTGAAGACCTATTCCGCATCGATGGCCAAGGTGACCTTAATGCCCAGGCCGCCCATCTCAAGTATACCTTTCAACTGAGTGGGTATCAGCGGCCCTGCGTGGAGTTCGCGCAGAGTGACGATCGTGGGATAGCAGTCCTCCAAGTTATGGGTTGCTGCTCGTGTTTCTGCTGAGTAGCTCGAGCGGACCTGCAATCGGTGAGACTTGCAGTGCGTCGGTAAGATGGACGACAAGCTTACCAGCAGGCGTGTTTCCATGCCGTAGCAGTTTTGACCCGCGAGTACCAGCCTTTGACCTCGCCCTCGGCATCTCCACTACGACGCCGGTAGCCGGAGTCGCTGCGCAGGTCGACCTCGCCCGTTGGAGTCTTCGATCGGTAGACGATCTCCTTAGGCAAGCCTGCAACTTTCTGGCAATCGCGTTCAGTCGTCGCACTTCCATGTTTGTCGGTTCTTGGACACGTTGCAGGGATGCAACATATGCCATCGACCACACCTGCGAGATTAAGGCGTACGCCAATACGCCTCTCAGGCTGACAAACATGTCAGCGACCATATTTGATGCCTTGGCGTCAGCGTCTGCGCCAGTGACTGCAGGGTGTTGTATAGGACGGCGCTGTTCTATGTATTCGTCTTGATCAAGTGTAACGTTACCGTCCCCATCCGCTGTGTACTTCGCAGCACAATTTGCACGCGTGTTTGTTGAGTTTACAGTTGCCCAAGATATCCTCCACACACTTGGCGCACTTGTCGACGGTGACCTCTGCGCCGTCCATATTGATATCATCAACGTGCTTGGCTGTAAGAAGGTTAGAACTCGTCTCGAATTCCTCGTCATAGGACGCGGGTATGAGCACACGCCCTCCCGCGGTCTTCCTGGGCTTCAGCGACAGGGCTCTAGGCGCGCCCTTAGTGCCGGTGCCTGGTTTGAGGCACTGCACGCAGTGCTTCGACTCATCGCGGTGCTCAAATCCTGGGAGGGTCCTAAGCGCAGATGCTGATCCAGGCGGCAATGTAAAGCGCGCCGCACGTTCCTTTTCACCGGCTGCTTCAGCAAGTTCCTGGTAGGTGGGTCCCTTCAGGAAAGCCATGTTGATGCCGAGGGAAGCAATGATCCATTGCATCTCACACGCTGCCACGCTTGCAAGTAGTCTCTGGCTTGACCGCCGTGCCATCCCTGAGTGAGCCTCCACGTCGTAGGCTTCGAGGCCCATGAAACCCCGAAGTACTAGGCGTAGTAGTCCAATGGTCCTCTCCATCTCGCCCTGCTCGTTCTAGGCCGACTTCTACTTACAAGCGCATCTTGAAGTCATGATGTTTGACGCCTTCGATCTATCTTGCATTTGAAAACACCCGTTGTCAAACAATCTCTTCAAATCACTGTATAAGGCTTTAGCTACATTGACTGGGTTCGCCCGGATGTCGGCCTTCGCGGGTAGGTCGTCCTCCTTGACGACTGCAGCTCGTTCGGCGGCAGCGGTCGCCTATGCTCGCATAGCGGTCACGCGGTTGAAGTGCAATGTGTTGTGTTGTGATTCGGATCGGACTACCCTTGACATGTCTGCAGCGAAGCAAAGCTCTACAGACTGCCCATGCTCGTCAATGTCCAATCCGGAAGTGTCGTCTTCGTCCGCGAAGCACAGCGGGGCACGATCTGTCTCCGTGGCGTCGATGCGGGATGACCCCCCGTAGGCAGGTGCCCCCGCTGTTCTTCAGCTACTGCGACCAGCACACTGTTGTCGGTGATCATCTGCGCGGGTGCAGCGTAGAGGTCGTCTATTGGAGTTGCCTCCAGTAGCCCTTGATCCCCCCCCCCCCCCGCAGTTCAGTGCGCCGCACATCCATGATATGTGCCTTAAGGTCCGCATCTGATTTCTCATGAGTAATGGGAAGCCGCCCGTCCTCCTGTGGCGGTTCCGCTTCTGGAGCTTCTCTGGCGTCGTTGTCTTGTGTCGATGCGTCAGCCAGTTCTTCAAACTTCGCCATGTCCTGGTCGAAGCCCGCTTGAGTGAGTGGATTTCAGACAGTGGATGATCCCCGGATGTGCTGCTACAGTTATACCGTATCTGTTTAAAGCAGCGCCTCCAGCTTCGTAGTAGTGGAAGCCTGGATCCACGTCGTTGTCATAGTGCACCAGCGTGCAACTGCCAGCGTAAGCCACTAGAGGTAGCTTGCGAATGCTCTTAGCAAACCTGACGAAGACTACGTTCTCGATGCCAAAGACGACCATGATGAAGTATTGAAAAGATAAATGTATTTTAGGAGATAGTCGGCTCGCACTTGTCATCTGGGACGCTCCCTGTGGTCCGGATGTAGCCAAATGTCATAACAAGTCGCCCCGCAGGTAGACTGGCGATGAATGCCAGCACCGCCCGTAGTGCAGCGTTGTCTGAGCCAATTTCTCGAGCGACCAAAGCTTCGATGCATAGTGAATGCCGTGCGTCGCCATTTGGACTTGTACATCGCGGTCTCGACACTTGCCGGGATCATTTCGTGCGACCGGGAAAGGGGCATTCCAGCTTCCCCAATCGTCCTGTGTAGTAGTGGGACGATGGTAATCAACCAAGTCT